CTTCTAAGGAGCTTTTCTGTAGCTATCTAATTTTTGTTTATGTTGCATGGGGTTGATGGAAGTTCACTGCTCTAGACATCAAGGAATGGATTATTTGAATTAGTCAATGGTAATCTGTATTAAAGGTAGAAGCCGCGTAATGCAGAACAATGAAGTCCTCACAAAATGCACAAATGAACATAACTCATTTGTGCTGAAGTACAACATATATTAAAAATATCACTTCTCCCTATGTAGATATGTTCGGGTTCTGGGGATGTTGGAGAGGAGTGTCTATATTAAACATCTGGTCTGCTTCTGTGTACTTTGATCAGCATCTGCTTGTGATTGAGTTCTCAAGTTTGGCCAGAAAAGCAGCTGAGGTTGAGACACAAGATAGGGGTCAGCTGCTTTTGTATAATTATGTATTCTGCTTGGACAGGTAGGAAGGTGCCTTTCCATTCAGCAGTTTTCATGAAAGATAAAGGTTTTGTGACAGCACATCACTTGGACAGAATATGAAGGATTGCAGATAAACTAGGATTTTAGGCTACATGGATTATCAAATATTGCAGTGCTGCAGGCTGAGATTTATCAGCTACCAAGCCCTGCTTCCTATTTGCCTTTGCTAAAATCCTTTTGAAGGGTGACAGTATTCATGAACATTAAAACTATAAGAAGGCAAAGTACAGAAGTGTACTTGTTACGGGAGAAATGGAACAAAAAATTGGGAAGATTACAGTGGAAACCATGTCATGGTGAATAAGGAGTCAGGCTTCAGTCTTGGGGAGAACTGGCACTCAGCCTAGTTTAAATTAGATGTTAGATTTTTTTTTTTTCTTTTTAAACTTGATCCTGGATTTCCTTCTGTCACCTCATATCCTTTTACGGTCAGTACCACTGTAGCCATGCATATTTATTAGACTTAGACATATTTTGCAAGTCACCTTCACAACAACTTCTTTTCTTTTCCTGGAAAAACTGGTTGGTTATGTAGAGACTGAATTTGCAAGTCTAATCTTTGGCATTTATTAACCCTTATTAGTCTGGTTGCTCAATGGACAGATAAGTTTTCAGGCTTATTTGCAATTTAATTTCCTTCTCTATATTAATCACGGTCCATACTTCTGTTTAGATTTCATAATCTAGATTCCTTCAGACATGAAAATGACCTGCATATTCAGAATCCTGGGAGAGAAACAGTGGTCCTGTTTGAGAGAGGACAGTGGTCCTGCTGTTTGAGAGAGCAACAATTAATTGCTAGTACTTCTCTCCTTTCTTTCAGGGAGCCACAGGCATGAGAAGAGGAGCAGGTTTATGTACCTGCAAATACTTTCTTTGCCTTAAGCTCACAGTGAAGGTAGAGTAGAAGAGGCAGATACTGTTTTTCCTCCCCAGACTAAGACACATCTCTGAACCTGAGCTAGAAGCACTCTGTCTATTTGCTTGTGGTATTTCCAGACCTGCTGAAGGCCTAGAAAGCGCAGCCACTGAAACAAACACAGTTGCTTATTGAGGCAGAGGCTGATGCACTGGGAGACAAGTTGTTGGAATAAACACAGCTGTGTTTTTTTCATTACACTGTGTTCTCATTTACTGGGTCAGTCAGCCACATACCTTGTCTGTGCAAAGGTACAGGGGTAAATACATGTCCTTGGGGAATCGCTAGGTCTATAGGATCTACTCTTGAACTTCATCTTGGATAGGGTTCTTCAATGTTTAAATCAAATAAAGCTGTGGTTATACCTATTTCAGGGAATGGTTAGAGCTTATTAGTAGTGACTAAAACAACCTGCTATGGAATATACAGTCAACCTTTGTAATCAATTGTGCTTTCAAACACCTAATTGCTCCCAACTCTGCCATGACAGTCTTCAAGACGTGGTCCCTGAGTTAGGGTTTCAAATAAACCCATCTGAATTCCCTGCGGAGAAGACTCTTCCTTTTGAGGAGAAGAAACTTTTTATCTGCATGGCTGTAATTGAGAAGCTCCTGAACAGATCTTGTTCACGTTCCCATGTAAATGGCAACCCTGAGCCACAGCCACAAAATACTGCAGTTCAGGGTTTCAGAGGGAACAGTGGCCTTGTTTCCAGGAGAATAGCCTGAAAAACAGAGCCTGCCCACAGGCAGAGAGGCCCAAGGGATGAGGCAGCTCCAGGAGTCGACTCATATTCCAGCACTGGAGCAATTCCCACTGCTGCACTGGGTTAAGCTCATCTTCACTGCCGGGCTTAGGTTGGCTTATGGGCATCTCTGACCCCAGTTTTCACTTCAAAAAGAAGTCATAGTTGGAATGATTTTGAAAAGCGGGATTTTCTGTAGAGTCACAGGGTTCATACTGCGCCAGCAGAAATGTCTGCATTAAATGAATACTGCTGGATCCCTGGTGGTGTGTGGAGCTCCCACCAGGCTTCCAGGCCATAAGAAAACCCTCATGGCTTTTGCATACAGGCAGATCCACTTGTCACACACTGACAGCACAATGAAAGGACTTGTTCAACCCACGAGATGCAATGCTCAGTGGAAAAGTAGCCTTCAGTTATCTGGATGCAAAAGAGAGAATTCAGCACCTGTGGCCATGAACGAAGTCGGGCCCTGTTATCAGCTTGGACTGGTGCCACCAGCAGAGACACTCTGCCATTTCCAATGTGCCATTTCAGTTGAAGCTGTTTGGACCTGACCTGGCAGTACAATGCTGGGATTATCATCACAATAGGCTTGGGAAGGAGGGCTTCCTTCCTGAAATTCACTGTAGTCTTTGCAATAAAACTAATCCGATTGTATCCTCCAATTCCCCTTTTTGCAACGCTGCCTGGGAGGGACACAAACGATACGATCAAATTCTCTTTTCTGGCATCTCTTGTACTAACAAGTATTGCCCTACCAATACTTCCCAGGGTGAGTCGGCTTCCCTAGTTCCCAGGTAACCCAATTTTTTTTTCCTCCAGTTTTTCAATTAAGCAGAAATTAAACCGCTGGCCGCATTCTGCTCACAGGTACTGATAAAAATGCAGAATTAATCACTTGCCCTCTGGTGCTGGGTGGAACCCCCAAACCTCTTCATACCCACAGAGCAAATTTTCATCATGCAGGAATGTACTGGCCATTTACTGAAGTGGTGAACTGAGGAGTTCAGAGCTCGACAGAGGTTTCTAAGTGGAGGGAGATAAGACAAAGGGAGCTCTCGTTCTTCCGAGGCACAGATTTTTATCATATCACAAAAGCAAACAGCTGAAAAGATTCCAGTCACGAAGCTCTGTGCTTTGAGAACGGGTTAGACTGCCTGCCCTTCCGTGTGAGACTGGCTACCGGATGGCATCCGGGATGGAAACAAGTTCTTAAACAGGTTATACCTACTGCTGTGGCTCATAGCGATTATCAGATGCTGAAGTCTTTTACATACCTAATTCCCTGTAGGTTCTTCTTGTCATTCGCTGCAAGGGAGCCAGAACATGTGCAGTGTGCAGCTGCATTCAGCCATCATCTCAGATGAACATTACCTTGAAAACCATGAATGCAAAAACCACCCCCACTAGATTGGCTCGATGTTGAGTGGCAGAGGTAGTACTTTATTTTTTGAGCATCCCTCCTCAAGGACACTAAAGAGTTTGTAAAACATCACTAAACAAAAACAAAACATTGCCAACAACAAAAATGCAAAACTGCCGAAAAGTAAAACACAGCAGCATTCAAATATTGGAAAACATGAGAGCTAAAGTGCTTGAGATAATTTCTTAACTATGCACAGTCTGAAGTCAATCTTCCCTGTATAAAGGCTATTTTTCAATAGCACCTGCCTGGCTGCATAGGTTTCTTCACCAATCTATGGCAGGGTAACACTACTAAGCCAGAGCCATTATCCAAAAGGGCTAGGAGCAACGTATTTCTTTCTATCCCTCATACTAAAAGTAAGTTAATAAATAATATTCAAAGAAACACATTTTAAAGTTCAGGCAGCTGAAGTCAGACTTCAAGGAAAGTGACTATACGGATTTCCCATGCAGTGAAGTCGCTAGCATGGCCTGAAGCTGAACAAAGCTTTGGTGGGATTTATAAAGTGCTGTCTTTTAGTATTTTATGCCTGTCTTTAGTAGTGTTTTTTTTAAACCAGCACCGGGGTTGTGAGTTAAAAAAATTCTGAAATAACAGACCAATTTTCAGTGGATGCTGGAGCCAGACAGACATTGCACAGTGCACACAAATGTATTAAAAAAAAAAAACCAAACCCAAACCAAAAAACCCCAAAACCCAAAACCTAACCCAATTATAGTAAAACTTTTCATCCTTAAAAACAAACACCCACCAAGCACCAAGAAGAGCAAACCTGAAAGCAACATCTGCCTCCCGGTCCCCTGGCTCCTTCCAGCAAGGATGGTTACTACATGATACAAGCTCAGCAGCAATGGTTGTGAGCCTGAGCCTGCAGGCACTCAGTGCAAAACTCTCCCGGCATTCAGCCCCATGGGAGCGATCCAGTTTTCACCGAAGCCGAAGGGAGCTCCCTACAGACTTCAGCAGACTTTGGATTGGCCCCATAGATTGATAGCGGGAACAGGACCTTGTTTTACAGTCACTCTTTTTCTATCCAGCCACAAAAACCACCCCCTGAAATTCCTGAAGGGGTTTTCAATTTTCCCCTCCATGCATGCATTTAACATCCATTACAGTTAACAGCAGTTACACATGCATATCAATGGGAGAAAAGTCCCAGTCGAGAGGAATTACTGGTAATAAGAAAAGAAACCCAGTAGAAACGCTGGGAATTGCTAAAGACCCAACTCCCTGGAAGAAATCCGTTTCCCTGTTTACGCAGCCGGCATCTGCTTGTTAACCCAGCCGGCATCTGCCCGCCGGACCGTAATGCAGGAAGCTCTATAGTGTGTGTTTGTGTGTGCACGGGTGTGTGACGCGCGCGGGGTGAGCAAACGGGCGTCGTTCTGCAGCACGCGAGCCCGTCGGCAAGCCGCCTCCTGTCTCAGCGTCCCAGCAAGCGTCTCGAGCGCCGGCCCTCGCCGCTCTCACTTGTGAGCCGTGGTGTTGTAATCGTCCTGTGCCGCGGCCGGCAGGGAATGGTCTATCCTGAACTCTTCCTCCAGCCCACCGGGCGCCTTCGCTGAATCCCCCCGGGCTGCGGGTTGGCGACTGTCCGCGCCGCCCCCCTCCAGCCCCAGGATCTGTCTCTGCACCAGCTTGGAATAAAGGCCTCCTTCTTCCATCAGCTCCTTGTGCGAGCCCTGCTGCACCACGTGGCCCTTGTCCAGCACAATGATGTTGTGTGCCTTCTCGACAGTGCTCAGCCTGTGAGCTATGACAAGCACCGTGTGGTTCTGCAAGTCGCCGTAAATCGCCTGCTGAATCTGCGCGGGAGGAAAAGACGTTAGTGCCCGAGCGTCACTGGCTCCGCTTTGGAAGGAAGAACAGCAGCTTTGTGGTCTGTGTTAAGAAACCTCTGGATGGGAGGTTTGCTCTCCTCTGGCTACACAGAGGACACAAGACTCCCTGCAGCACTACCAGCACCAGCACGTCCATCCCAGCTCCCGGCTCTCGCTGTGCAGCCCAAAAGACCGTCTCAGTCCAGCCAGCCCGCAGGTGCGGTACGCACACATGCACTGCCAGGTCTGATCCTGCAAGTTGGGTTCTTGTTAGAGCTGAGCCCCAAATTTGGAGCCCACGTGGTGTTGGCACGGACTGCAGGAAGCCAATACCTGGTAAATGCAGCTGCTCAGAAAAGCTGGGCTATTTCCTGGGTGTATCAAGGCAAAGCAAGAGAGAGTTGCTTTTCAGCCAAAAGACAGACAATGGCACTAAGTCTAAAGGCAGGCAGATGGCCACCAGGCCACATGTCACATTGACACCCCTGGCTAGCCAAAACCAGCTCCTGGCTGGCATTGGATACCACACGCGTGGCTGAGGACCTGCAAGCCCATGAGCTGCTCCGAGGTCAGATGCTCGCGCTGCCCCACACCGTGGGCCGGCAGCGCTCATCCTCCGGGACCAGGAGACACATCCTCACACCTCCACCTTGAACTAGCTTTCCCTCATGTCATTAAACCAGCGAGGCCAAACTGCTACTGCTAGAGCTGTTTGGCCATCACATCCCAGCCAGCTCAATTCACAGAAAGCTCAGGGCCTTTCCTGCCAGCGTAGTTTCTTTGGTGCCTCAGCTGGGATTTTAGCTCAGGCAGTCCTACTCTGCCTGCTGCAGTTTTTAGGGTCTTTCTCCGTATCCTGTCCTAAAAGGCTGCACAGTGCTGCCGTATGCCAATTAACACTTTTCGCATTTCAAAAACGGGCAGAGATCCCTATCTCTTCAGGTTTGTCAGGCGTTGGCTGCTGTGAGGACAGGATTATTCCCTTCTTGGTGGCTACAGCAGTGTTGGAAGCAAATTCCTGCTTAGGAATTAGCATCTTACCCAAACCTCTGATTGCACCATGTCAAGACTAAGCTTGTCCACAGGCTGGAAATTGGAGCTACAGTCTTTCCTCCAAACCCAGATTGCCTCTTTGGCCCAAACACCCGAGTCACCTACTCACCGCATGTTCGCTCTCCGCATCCAGCGCGCTCGTGGCTTCATCCAGGATTAGGATGGGGGGGGTTCGGATCAAGGCCCTGGCAATTGCCACTCTCTGCTTCTGGCCACCTGACAGCTGGGCTCCTTTTTCACCTGCCTCTGTTGGGTCAAGAGAGAGAAGAAAGCGTCAAAGTAAAAACCAAGAGCTGCCATCAAGTTCAGCTCCCAGCCAGCAGCATCAGGATGGTGTCATGGTTTGAAGCAAAGTCCAGGTACACGCTTCTGCTTCTGCTCACTTGGCAGAGCACTTTAAATGAGCTAAACACCTCCAAGGCTGCAGTCCTTCTCTCCAGCAGTAAGTTCTCCACTGTTGTCCCAAGGTCTGAGGTGCTGATGCTCATGGAAACAAAGCAGAGAAGTCCCTGAGCCTGGGAGATCATCCAAACCCCGAGCCCTGCTCCTGCCCTGGCCCATGCAGCTGCGTCGCTGCCATCTCTCCCTGCAAGTTGGGCTCTGGAGGGTGTGCAACCAAGGGGAAACCAGGACCTCTCCGCTGGCTCCCTAAAAACACCATTGGTCTGGTCTGACCTCTCACAAAGTCCCACTGTCACAAACACATCAGCTTTTATTACTATGGATTTATCGCAGGTTTATTTTCTTCCTCTGCAGGTGGGGTGGTACACAGCTAACTGCTTGGGTTCTGGGCTTTTCTCCTGAACATTGCACTGAAAAACGGCGAGACCGCCAGTGCCACATCTCCATAACACCGGGAGCCAGACTGGTCTGGATGGGATGGGGGATGCTCACCCCGCTGCCACAGAACAGCGGCAGCAGAAACGCTCTCCCGGGATGGGCTCAGAAATCCTGCAACAGCTCAGTCACCCCAAAAGGCAGCCCGGGTGCTGCACCTCTCCACGTAACCGCCTCTGCAGTGCCTCTGAGCTGCCACGGGCTCGTGTCCCTCACTACCTGCCTGACTTTCCACCCGAGGGGAGAAGTTCTGCCTTCCCTAGGCACAAAATGCTTTCGAGTGCAAACGGAGGCATTTTGGTACCTGTGTGGTAGCCGTCTTGTAACTCCGTGATGAAGGTGTGCGCGTTGGCCTTCTGGGCAGCCTGAACAACCGACTCGAAGGAGGCTGAAGTTAAGCCGTAAGAAATATTATCCGCAATAGAGCGGGCGAACAGCACCGGCTCTTGGCTCACCAGGGAGATCTGCACAAAGGAAGGGAAGAGCAGGGGGTCAGGAGCAGAAGACGCGCTGGCCGGTGTCTCGGATCATCGGCATTTGTTCCTGCTGGGTAAGGACTCAAGTGGGCAGAGCCTCACCATTAAACCAAGGTAAAGAAGTGCCTCAATGCGAGCTTCCAGTGAGGACACTAACGACGGGCTAACAGCAGCAGCCCCAGCCCAGTTTGCATCGTCTGCTGAGAAGCCGTTTCGCAGGAAAGAAAACCGATGCAATGCTGGTACGTTGGCATCCGGGACGGGCTTCCCCCTCCAAGATCCTGCTGTGTTTTTGCTCCAGAACTGTCATTCCCATCACTGTTTGCTTTTCCCAGTATGGGAAACCAGTTGCTGGGACAAGGCAGGCTGGAGAGATCCTCTCCCAGGGCCTTGCTGATTTTCTGTTCAAGGCCAGTAATCATGCTTGGGCCACGTGAATGAGCCCTCCTGCATCTTTTAATCCAAAATTAGCAAGTTACGGACATAGTTGCTGCAATTCCTTAATTGCTTAGCAACAGCCTCCCTGTCCTACCTTACAGCCGTTGCTGCTCACGCTCACATTCAGGCTGCTTTGTCAAACTCCCAATATTGAAAGAAATTGAACCCTCCAAATTATTGCTCAGAACTGGGCATGAAGAAAGCCAGCCGGACACGGTCATATTTTAATTGACTTCTCCCCATGCTCCTAACACCACACCAGGCTTTCTAAACTGAAAGGCTTGCTTGTCTTTTAATTTTCACTCAGCATGGGCAGGGAATGTAAATTAGTCACACGGACTTTGGCTTTCCAGCCTGTCTCTGATCAATTGTTTTCAGGTTTTCCTACTGACTGGTGAGGCTGTTTGCTCTGGGGGCAAACAAAGAAGGCAGTTACTTGCAGAGGAGATGAAGGCCGATCTGTGCTGACACACAGACGAGAGCTGAGGGGCCTGGATCCCTCTTCTGGGCAAACCACCCAGCCCCTCTGGTGCCCCAGCTGCTGCCAGGATCCCGAGAGGTTTAACTCTCCATTAGCTGAGAATTACTTTAAGAACTTAAGGTAGAAAGTGCTGGAGGAATGCAAACCACTTTTTTCCAAACCCAATTTAGATGATAATTAATCCAACAACCAAAAACATATTTCTACTGCGTTGGCCAAAAAATACAAAACAAAACATGTTTCTTGTTCTGTTTTCGGAAGACTTCCCCCTCCCCATGAAACCACTCTCCATCCCTTTCCCTTCCGCCCCCACAAATTATCTGAATTCATTTCCTGGACCACCTCCAGCCTCCAGCTTTCTGGACATTTCAGAAGTTGCCAGATCAAATCCAAAGCAACATGCAATGCTACCATCCATCCCCTCTGAGCACAGCAGGCGATAGCTAAAATATACACGTTATCAGTCGCTCGTACCACTGAGTGCAGGTACTTGTGATCGTACATGTTAATGGGATGCCCGTCCAGCAGCACCTGCCCGTCTTGCAGAGGGTAGAAGTTCTCCAGGATGTTGACACAGGAGCTCTTCCCGCTCCCCGAAGGACCCACCAGCGCCGTCACTTTGCCGGGGTGCAGGGTGAAGGACACATTCTGCAACACAGACGGGAGAGCAAGCTCAGGTCCTGGCTTTTCCCAGGGTCCCGGGGCAGTGGCTCGGGCACTATGCAAGAAATGTGGCCAAAATCTGGCCACGGTGACCCTCCACCTTGGTGACGTGCCACATCAACCACCTCTCCTGGCTCTGAGGAAGCCAGAAGCCTGCAAAATTGCTTCAAATTTGCCTGCTGATGTAGCAGGACTTCTAAAAACTGCAAAGCAAACTAACCTCCTCGCTGCTTCCCCCTGCCCCGTGACCCCAGCCCCTCTCCCATGGAAACAGGCTGAGACAGCTTGGCACAAAGCCCTGTACCGTGCTGACGTGTTTAATGCCTGAGCGGGGAACAAGGGTTTTATTAATAAATCTCATTCCTTGTACGGAAGGCTGGCCCTAAACACCCGCTGTTCCTTATAATCTGTTTTCCAGCATGCCGTCGAGCCTGCCTTTACGCCTCTCCAAAAGGGCAGCTGACATTTCCCGCAGGCTGGGGATCGGTTGTTGCTGCGATGGAGAAGCGGCGCGTGATGCCACGTGGTGGGGCGCGCTCTGCGCCCGCGGGGCTCACCTGGAGGACCTGCGTTGCAGAACGAGTGCGGTAGGAAAACGTCACGTTTCTGAACTCCACCTTCCCATCCATGTGGTCTGGGACCAGGGACCCGTCGTTCACCATCGTTGGCTTGCGGTCGATAAACTCGAACACCTTCTCGGCAGCTCCCACTCCCTGCATCAGGCCGCTGTAGACGGAGCCGACGGACTGGAAGGGAAGAGGCAATGGTGAGACCCTCCCATGGGATGGAAAAGGCAATCTGTGCAACTTGTAAGGAGAACGGTTGAAGCATTCCCAAGTTCTGACATTAACTACAGTCATCAGACTCAGAAAAAGAACAATTTTCCCCCTATGCAATGTACAGAGGGGATATATGGACATATCCAGGGAAAGGGCATCTAAAGGGTTTGTGCATGGGTAGACCCAGAGGGGAACAGAAGAAGGAAACAGATGGATTGGGAAGAGAAGACATGCATCAGGAGTTACATGACCCAAACTTCCACCAGAATTCTCCACCTATCTCTCTTTGCTCAAGACCAGCAGCTCCCCACCCCAGTGGTTGAACAGAGTCTACGTACGGCAGCACATCGCACCAGCTCCCAAGGGCAGCCGGCTTGTCCCTAGCACACGTCTCAAATGCAGAGCAGCTTCATGCTGGACCTTTCTAGACAACCGTTTGGCAGCTGTTCCCCGCCGGGATATGGTCCTAGTGGATTTACCATTGTGCTTTCCCAACTACAACTGTTGCACGCTGACACCGGCTTCGCTAGAATAAACCCCCGTCACGTTGGCTTTTTTCAATATTAAACCCAGAGCTGCAGAACAGCTTGTACTGCAACTGCCCCTCCCATCAGGAGGGGCTAAAAAACCCCAAACCAAACCAAACCCACACCAAAAACACAGCCTGGAAACACCACCAGAGCCTGCAGTCATCCAAACAGATGGTGAGAGCCAGGCACGCTGCCTCCAGCTCTGCTCTGCCGCTGTACAAAGGCTGAAGCGCTGCCGAAACCACGCTTGGCTGCAAGGAAACCTCGACTTGATCATTTCTGCCTCGATTAGCCAAGCTTACGCCTTTGCAAGGGGAAGGCAGCCCTGGGTGGGCTCTACCATCCCACCCACAATCCCATCTTGCTAATGCACTGCCAACGCAGCAGCTTGCAGCCTATTCCGGGGCGGGGGGGTTGGGAAAGTAATATAATTAAGTTTTTAATGAAGCCTGAAGTTTAACAGGCAGCTTTGTAATCCCTGCATCCTTCATGCCAAGAAACGTGCTTGGGAGGCAGCCCAGGGCTCTGCCCTTCAGCAGGGCCAGCCTGACCCCCTTGCTCCCAATTGCCTTATCAGGGGGTGAGCTGCTTTGGATGCGTTCAGGTTGCGAGGCCACAGCAGGAGGGGAGCGGGGAGCAGAGGGGAGAAGTTATTAGTTTTAATAAATTTGATTAGGTTTGCCGGTGGGCAAAGCCGCAGCGCCAAGGAGATGCGTCGCAGGGAAGTCAGCACTGGATCTAGCCCTGCAACTGCCCCTGAACCTTCTAGAAGACAATATCACCTTGATACGGGGTAGCCCAGAGGGAGAAAACAGACTCACCTCCATGCAGTCTCCTAAGACGAACTCGTAAATGATGAAGGATATCAAGTTCCCGCTTGTCATTTGCCCCGAGATCACGAGGTGCCCGCCGTAGTAAAGGATGCTGACCTGGACCACCAGGAGGGTCAGCTGAAAGCGAGAAAACACCCCAAAAATCAGCAAGGACAACTGCATTTTGGTGCATTTGTAATTACTCACACAACAGCCCACTATACATGTGCTGACATTTATTCTTTGAGCCCCAAACTGAGCATCCCTGACAGCGCGCAGCTGACAGCCCTAGCAGCGAGCACGGATCTGAGAAGAGAAAAACAACTCAAGTACATGGGCTGATTTACGGTGCTGGGCTGAGATCTTTCAACAAAACAGAAGTCCAGAGGGGCAACAACCAAGGAGGGAGAAATTATCTGAAATAATAGAGCATCTCATGAACTTCTCTCTTGGACTAACATCCTCAAGTGTAATAATCTACACTCAAATTATCCAACACATGCAGTCACCTCACCACTAAAATAAACTTTCTGTTACACGAATGTGACACATTTTAATTTAGAGCACAAAATCAAGCCAAGAGTTAATGTAAAAAAATCCTCCTTGCATGTACAAGTCCCTGAAGCATAACCTCAACTCTTGCCTGAAATCAGTGGGGGGGTACCACCTACTCTAGAAAGGAGAGATCAGCTCTGATATGACAAATACCAGCCCCTGCCTTTATTTAGCTGGTTTTGTTCCACACTGCCTGGGTGCTCAGAAAAGGGGCGATGCCCTGGTGCTCTGTGCAACGTTTGCGGGACAGGCTGTAAATTCACACAGACAAAAATACCGGGGAAAAAAATTCCTCCTCTATTGCTCTGCCACGATCTGACCTTAAGATCCTGCATTCCCTCCGAGAAAGACGCTACCAGGGCTGTGCTAAATCCATCGGCTTCTTTCTACGTGAGCCCCGCAGGAGCAGTTTTTGAGGGTTTTTGCCTTCCTTGACTCCGTGGGATCTGTGCTGACCCAGTTCACGCTCCGGCTTCACCTGGGAGCTCAGGAACGATGCTAAAAATGCTCCGATTTCGCTTCCAGACTTGGGAAGCCATAAAGTCTCCCACAGCTGCACGAGGCCACCATAACTCGTAAACCCTTCACCAGAAACTACTTAGATCCTTGAATGTGCAGAGATAAGGCTGACCTCACATGAGGGTTTTGCACAGCTTTAGTTATCAGACAATGCAGGAGAAGTCCCAAACCATCTGGTCTTGAATGATGAAAAAGCATTTTGAAAAAAAAAACAAACAACCAAACACCCAAAAAAACCCAAACCCCAGCAGCCTCCCCCTGCCACCACCCACACGCAGCAAATCTCTGTTTCTGAGCAGAAGCTCAACCAACGCCGCGGCTGTTTCCCAGCCGGAGCCCCGGCGATGAGCTGGCACAGGCACGCAATGCAGCAACACAGAAACACGGGGTTTTCCACGACCTTGAGCGGTTATCAATTATGTTCTTATTTGCAAGAGAAAACAGACCATTTGGTGGCATGATGCAGTGCTGCCCTAAGGGGGATCGGAATATATTTTTTGATGAGTGAAAAAAAAAAAAATTAAGAGACAGGGGATTACAGGCAGCGGACGTCAAGGCTGGGCTCACCCCGCAAAGCTCCCTGGAAGTAGACGCACGCACATCATGCCACGTGTGTTTTGGGATCCGAAGCAACGTCCCCTACCCGTCCCCAGCCCTGCACGGGGAAGCCCCGGCGCCGGCCACCTACCCCGCTGGACCAGACGTAGTAGGTGTAAGCCATGGCCTCCCGCTTGTTGAGTTTGTACACCTGCTGCAGCTTCTGCCAGTACACGTTCGCCTCCACCTCCTCGTTGGCAAAACTGCGGACGGTCTTCATGGCGGAGATGGTCTCCTCGGCGGTGTTGTTGGCCTTGGCCAGGGCGTTCTGCACATCCTTGGAGAGCTTCTGCGGGGAGCGGGGAGAGGCAGAGGGGGCTCAGCGGGCGCCGGGCTGCCCGTGGCACCTCTCCCCGCACGCTCCGGGCTCTGCTGGGCTCGGGAAAAGAAGGCACGGTGACATTTTCCAAGGCCATAAGCAACGAGGCTGAGCGCTGGGATATATCCCACACCTCAGGTCAGCCTGGGGCACTGAGGGGAACGGATCCATTGTGCTGTCCCCGAGGAGGGACCTGGGCTGCAGGAGGTGCCGTGCCGTGCCCAGGGCCACTTGGGAAACCACTGCTCCGGGTGCCCTGATGGAACAGGGTCAGCCTGGCCCAGGAGCCCTTCCAGGAGTTTCCACGTCAGGGACAGGTCTGGAGACCAAGGGCAGCTCCACTCCTCCCACAAGTGACCCGCAGGAGGAGCCATGGCTGGGGGAAGCAGCACCCAAGGACCCCGCTTTGGCAGCACCCCTGCACGCCGTGTCCCAGCACAGCGGAAAGCTCCAATAACCAACACGGGGAGCAGCAGTGCAGGACTCGCATGGTCCGTGGGACACAGTATTAGCCACAGGAGATGGCCCTTGGTCCACGCTAGCCCCAGGCAGAGGGAGGGAGCTCAGCACTGGGTTTAACCCCCACCTGAGCCACTCCAAAGGGAGAGGAGAGGACAGACTGCACGAGGACAGGCAGGCACATACCGACATGCCACGGCCAAGCAACCTCTCCTGTCAGACCTGAGATGCTTCCACTCCTGAGCATGAAGCAAGGTAAAGAGCCGAGGCTATGCTTGTCTGCCCACACAGGTTTAACGCCGCCTTCCTGCCCCCACTGCCAGCAGCAAAGCACCCAAGCATCAGTCCCACCAGCTCCAAGGCCACCCACAATCTCCACGATGGCTTCATGAAGGGAACAGTCCAGCGTTGCGGCACACCATGGCCATGCCAGCTTCTCCTGCCTACCTTGTAGTACTTCCCGTAGATATCAGACACCAGCATGATGATGGGGAAGCCCATGAAGGTGACGAGCGAGAGCTTCCAGGAGAGGCTGAACATGAAGAAGATCACCCCCGTGGCCTTCACCACATTGCGCAGGAAGATGTTGATGTTCTGGGAGACCAAGTCGCTCACGATGGTCGTGTCCGATGTCAGGCGGGAGATGACGTCCCCTGCAGCAACGAAGGGTTGGGGAAGGGGAGAGTGGGGACACGTCACCACAGCAGGTCACTGCCTAGCCACGTCCCATGTCCCATGCCAGGGACCAGACGGAGCTCCCCATCCAACCCACCCCTTGCTGGGGGTCTGAAGGGCGGCATGGAAGGCGGGTGACTCTCCACCGCTGTGGATGCAAAGCAAAACAGAGGAGCTTGAATTGCTGCATGCACGAGGGACATGAAATGCATCTGAAGGCATGAGCTACGTCCCTGGGACACCAACGATGGCTGCAGGACAGCAAAGGGGACTGCAGCAGCACCCTACACCGGAAGGCACCCCACGGGCATGCAGACGGGCAGCGGGCATGTGGGTGGCGTGTTTGCTGGGCTGCTGAATGCACCTCCAGAGTTGTCAGCCCAGCCCGCATTTCTAAATGACGCCAGGAGCCCTCCAGGAGCTCGCCAGGGACCGCTGGCACCTTTCCCTGCTGTCCTGGCAGGACCAGCCGGGGCCGGGCACAGCACGCCCCTGCGGAGGAGCGCGAGGCGGCTTCGGGGAGGGCTGTTTGGGTTTGTTTAGCCGTGTGCCCCGCAGCCTGGAGCCGACCCAAGTGACACTGAAGATGTGGGTCTAGCTACCAAGGGGTGAAGCTCCTGCGGTGTCCTTTGGTGGAACTGAACATTACGGCCAGCAAACATCTCCCTGAATTCCTCAATACTTGGCCCGTGTTTGAGTCCAGCTGAACTCCCATGCTTTTGTGTGTTAGCCCAGGGTTACCCATATCCCACTTATAATAACATCTCCGGTGTCCTCAGCTACCAGGGCACCATGCAGCCATTGCTAAATATGGCAACAGCCTCAAAACTAAAAATATCACCAGGAAGAAATTGAATGTGGGAAAAGTTCCTTGGGACCACACCAGAGTCGGGACCAGGACAGGACTGAATGGCAAGCAGAGAAAGCCACAAGCGTGCCCAGCAAGCTTCACGCATCTGAGGTTTCCCATGCCCAGAGCAGAGCTGGAGAGCGGCCGACCAGCAGGCACTGACGGGAGGTACGGAAGGAGGAAAGTAGGTGGTTTTGGGGATGAACACGTCAGCCTCGGGGCTGCTGGATGTCAGGCTGATCGGTGGCAATGGGACATCCCCAGGGTGCTGGGCAATCCTGTCCCAACCCCACAGCGGGAGGCACCCGAAAGGGAAGAGCTTTCTGCCGCTCTTTCTGAACACGAGCATTTGGGTGCCGTCTCTAGCTGTCCCCGATCTGCTACGTGCTGGTAGGGCAAACCAAGGGGAAAAAAATACCGAGATGGGATAGAGGGGTTAGAGCAAATCCGGGGGAAAGAGGAACCAACCTGTGCGATTCTCATCAAAGAAACTCATCTCCTGAGACACCAGCGACCTGAAGAGGCAGTTGCGAAGGCGAATGTTCAGTCTTGCAAATATGAGCGTAAAAACGCCGCCCCGGATACCTGCGGCAAATGAGCTAATTGCAGATAAGAAACGTTATAGACCAATGGACACAAAACCCGCTCCTCAGCAACACAAACACCCCGATGCCCGGGCCGAGGGCTTGGGCAATGCTGTGCTGGTACCACTTTCCACCCCGGGAGGCGATGGCTAATCCAGCCCACACCTCCTCTGGGTGCTACCAGCACAGGGACAGCTGGTCTTAACCCCAGCAGTGACAAGCTTCGGGAGGGGACGCAGCGCTGCCGGGACAGCGTTCCCTGGGGAGCCCGTTCCCTGTGTCCGCTCCTGCTTCCCCACCACCAGCAGACAGATGTGGAGGGCTACGCAACGGCCTCGTGACTGCCACCACGGCCTCTCTACACCGTGACGGCGCAGAGAAATCAAAGCACATCCCTGGGGTCCGGCAGGGACCCGGCAGAGCGGCTGCAGGTGAGGCAGCCCATGCCCACCACTGCCACCGCGAGCTCCTGTGGGAAAGCCCCAAACTCCTCCTCGGCAGGGCCAAAACCAGCCCCTGCGATTACCTTCCTATGGCGAGCAGCGACATGACCAGCACCGCCGTGGAGAAGCGGTCCATGCTCTTCTGCACCACGATGCCGTCGATGGCCAGCCCTGTATAGTAGGGCAGGAAGGTCTCTCCTGCCGGACAAGCACAGGACACGGGGTTTCAGCCTCTCCGCGCGGGATTGGCACAGGACCTGTATTTCCAACTGCAACAGCCCATGGACAACCCCATCCCCACCGCGAAGATACTCGGCCATTGCATGAGATGTCTCAGGAGGCACAGCTCTAAGTGGCACACGGGGATGTTTAATTTCCCGGTGTATTTTATCCCCTATTGCATTTTTTTTGCCCCATTGCATTTTTCACCCAGCCCGTGCAGGACGTGCCACCCAGCACACCCAAAGAGGCAAGCCTGGGGTGCTGCCACGTGCCCCCTGCCATGGCTCTTTC